AAAGATCGCTTAGATAGTTCTTAAAGATGGCTTAGTTTGTTTTAAAGATCGTTTAGTTTGTTCATAAATGTCGTTTAGTTTGTTGTTAAATATCATTTAGTTTGTTCTCAAAGATCGCTTAATTTGTTCTTAAATGTCGCTTAGTTTGTTGTAAAATATCGCTTTTGCTTAGTATTAAATGACCGAAAACCTGAGTAACTTTCGGCCGGATGGCCGAAAGTCTAAGTCAATTTCGGCCGAAACCGAAGAAAAACCGAAAGTTAACTTTTCTCTTTCGGCCGAAACCGAAATTAAGCCGAAAGTTAACTTTCCAGTTTCGGCCGAAACCAAAACTTGGCCGAAAGTGATAAAATGGCCACTTTCGGCGCCGAAACCGAAGCCGAAGCCGAAATTCGGTCGGCCTCTAGTTGGCAACACATCCAAGAGAATGTGATTCTGAATTCAAATTAACTCTGAATTCAAACATGGAGTGGCGTAGGAGAATAACATTGGAGCAATGATGAAAGAATTTCGACACGTGCTGCGACGCCACTGGTGCCAAGCTGCATCATCAACATGATGTTGAAATAAAATTTCCCAAAATGGGGCTACTCTCGAATACGTATTTTAATGCCTCGTCTCGATTTTAAATGGAAACAAAAAATCATTTTTTAAAGTTTTTTTTTTTTACATTTCTTTATTTTTAGTCGTGCCCCCAAGATCTAGCAAGATGAAGCGCCTTGAGCTAAGTGGTTAAAAAAATAAGCATTATTAAAAAACTGGGTGCTTGGTGGCCGAGCTGTCTAAACTCTCTCAAACCAAATAGCTGGTGGCCTGGAGTTCAATCTCCACCAGAGCCAACATCTCAAGAACCCTGGGTGGACTTTTAAGAGAAGGCAAATTTAAACCAGGAGCCAGAATGATCAACAAATTGATCTTTGGCCCCTCAACTATCAGAAGAAGAAGAAGAAAAATAGAAAATGGAGAGGACTGTGGATATAATTTACGGAATAGAAACATTTCTTCACTCAAGTTCCACAACATGTTACACAGACGCCGATTCAAATACAAACTTTTTTGTCTACAATAGACACATCCATTTATTAACAACTAAAATCCTCAGTTTGACAATCACAAATTATTCATAAACTACATCTTTGCTTTCAGATCTCACCAGGTGCCACAATCACAAGCTTGTTCATAAACTACAGCTATGCCTTTAGATCTCACCAGGTGTTCCAATAACACATGTTTTCATAAACTGCATCTTTGCCATCAGATCTCACTAGGTGCGACAATCACAATCTTGTTCATAAACTACAGCTATGCCTTTAGATCTCACCAGGTGTTCCAATAACACATGTTTTCATAAACTGCATCTTTGCCATCAGATCTCACCAGGTGCCACAATCACAAGCTTGTTCATAAACTACAGCTATGCCTTTAGATCTCACCAGGTGTTCCAATAACACATGTTTTCATAAACTGCATCTTTGCCATCAGATCTCACTAGGTGCGACAATCACAATCTTGTTCATAAACTAAATTTTTGCCCTTTGATCACACCAGGTGTTCCAAAACCAAACTTTTTCATCAACTAAACCTTTGCCTTCAGATCTCATCAGGTGTCCCAATCACAAACGTGATCATAAACTACATCTTTGCCTTCAGATTTAACTTGGTTTTCACAATCACAACCTTTTTTTAAACTACATCTTTGCCTTCAGATTTAACTTGGTTTTCACAATCACAACCTTTTTTTAAACTACATCTTTGCCTTCAGATCTCACTAGGTACCCACAATCACAAACTTGTTCATAGATGACATTTAAGACTTTATTCATGTTATTGTTATCATCATCAAAAACACCAGTCTCTGAATTTTATGTGGTTGACTGTATCTTTAAAAAAAAATCCAATTTTGCAATGAAATAACTTTTTTTTCACTGGCAAAATGCAATCGTAAAGGAATATCATTAAAAAAAATCACTCTCACCGGGACTCTACGCTCAAGTAATTATTAAAATATGGGCATGGGGTTGGACACAACAGTTTGACAAAGAAATCAGGAGTAGTTTAATAACTTTGAACAACAGTGTCATAGATGATATCCGAACGTTAGCCAAACGTGGCTGGCTTTTCGGGGAACGGGAAAAAGTGAATAAGTAGGATACTTGCGTGATAAGGCAGACTCTGTTTGCTTAGATGGCAAGGGTAATGAGATTTATTTAATCTCTATTTTCACATACACATACGAAACGGACTTACAGATTTGTGCAATTAGACAGTATGTTCTGCGCCGCTGCGTCATCCACATTTGGAAAAAACCCTGAAAGACTCAGGTAGAGATGCTTGATCGTTCTATGGTAGTTGGCGACACGATTAAGTAATCTTTTCAGCTTTAAAATAAAAAATACAACTTTTTAATTTGTTTATTGTAAATTGTGTGGATAAATATATAAGGGTGATAATTAAATATTCTAACTGATATACCCAGCTTAGCCCACATATATTTTCGATTCCAGTTTACATGACAGCCTGGAGCTAAGCCTTTACTAATCCTTAAAATACATAATCAAGCTAACATATAAGCTTTTTTCAAAGTTTTAAATTGCAAAAAAAAGCTGCAAAAATTATATCTTAAAGGGTATAATCTTATTTGAAAAGTTTATCATTAAAATACTTATCCAATTTGGTTCGTAATACATTTAAAGGTTATCAATATTGGATCTCCCGCCGTCCAAGCAAAAGACACCAACCTTTCCAAAGTTCTCTTGATCTACAATTTCCTCAGACACTGCCTGTTCTAAACTTATGTTGATCTACTATTTCCCTGAGACACTTACTATACTAAAATTATGTTGATCTACTATTACTCTCAGTCACCGCCTCTTCTAAAGTTCTATTGATCTATATCCTTAAGATACTACCTATTCCAATGTGATCTACTATTTCCCAGGGTCACTGCCTATTCTAAAATTATGTTCATCTACTATTTCTCTCAGTCACCGCCTATTCTAAAGTTATATTCATCTATTTCCTTGAGACACTGTCTATCCCAATGTGATCTACTATTTCCCTGAGACGCTGCCTATTCTAAAGTTATATTGTTCTACTATTTCCCTGAGACGCTGCCTATTCTATAGTTTTATAGATCTACTATTTCCTTCAGACACTGCCTATTCCAAAGTAATGTTGAGGTACTATTTGCCCTTGACACTGCCTATTCCAAAGTTATGTTGATCTACTATTTTCCTAAGACACTGCTTTTCCCAACGTATGTTGATCTACTATTTCCTTGAGACACTGACTATTCCAAAGTTATGTTGATCTACTATTTCACTGAGACACAGCTTATTCCAAAGTTATATTGATCTACTATTTTCCTTAGACGCTGCCTATTCTAAATTTATATTGTTCTAATATTTCCCTGAGACGCTGCCTATTCTAAAGTTATGTATATCTAATATTTCCCACAGACACTGCATGTTTTCAAGTTATGTTAATCTACTATTTCCCACAGACACAGAATAGTCCAAAGCTATGTTGATCTACTTTTTTCCTCACACACAGACTATTCCAAAGTTATCTTTAACTTCGATTTCCCTAGGCCCTGGATGGTGTGGACGCAGTAAATCAGATAGTATAATTTATATTTTAAAGGATTAACATTTCTAAAATACTTATAGATTTATCTTAAAGGTTATTCTTTTTTAAATTTATATTGGTTGAGGGTCCCTTGGGTTAAACATTGTAATTTGACGGAGAGACCCCGTCAGGGGCGGGATAATATATTTTATTATTTTACTTTTTCCCGAAAATGTTGATCTTTTTTAAATTTCTTTTTGTTGTTGACGCTAAGCAAGAAATCGTTAGTCAATTTGGGAAAAGTTGTATAAACAAAACATAAATTAAATACATCTACCAGATGATACATCAAAATCTCTAAAAAAAATATCACTTAATTTTTTAAGAAAATATTACATAAATCTTCCAGATAAAATTTCATAATTCTCTAAGATAAATCTTCAAGACAACAGTTCATAAATAAACAGGATAATATAACATAAATTGAACTGATAAAATTTTATTATGCATAAGAAATGTTATCCTGGACCTACCACAACACAAACCCTAAGATATCGAGTCCAGTGGGGCGTTGCAAAAAATTAAAATAAAATTATATCATAAATTGTTCCCTTAAATACACACAAATTATTATAGTAAAGTTCGAGATTCAGTTAAAATGATGACTAACAATAATGTTTGCATTGAGCCCGTTGCAGGTGTATTTTATAATTGCAACTTGTACTTTAACAAAGGAATGAGCAAAAGCCAAAACAAACAAAAAATCACTTTCAAAGTATTTATCCTACATCAAATTCCGTCGTATCTTCTCCTTCTGAGTGCCAGAATAAATTGAAAAGGGGAATAGACGACGATAGAATATCAAGCACTTCGTGAGTGTCCTGGACGTCTGAGGCGTAGAGCTCAACCAACAAATCTGGGTGACTGCAGGCCAATGACTTCCACGTCTCGCAGCTTACTCTGTGAGCTGATTGAGTGGAGGTTATCACAGGACCGTGTTAGTCATGTGTAAATTGAACAAATATAAGCTTAATAGTTTTGTGCACACTAAAGTTGCAAAGTGACTTCACCAATAACTAATGTACACATAACTTCACATCGAAATAAGTCGGCGCTGATGTCAGCAGGACACAATAGGAACATTTTAACGTCTTTTATTGTAATAGAAAAAAAACAAACTTTTAAATGAATATATAAGTTATCAACTCACTTGGACGCAGCTTCCCCTTAATGAGAAGATATAATACAGCCACGGTACACGTGATACTTAAATTATTGTATATCGAAAAAGCGTGTGTGGGCGCAAGATTAAAACACTTTCAATGGTACTTATAAGTAGTTTAAAAAAAAAAAAAAACATAAATTGTTTCAATAACTAGCAATTAAACAAACATACTTTGCTCTGCATATCCTATGGACAAAAGCTTAATGGACGAGAGATTTGGACATCCTCTGACCCATGTTTTGGCCAATTCGTCCGACATGATATCGTATTCCAACTTAATACAAGAGAGGCTTTTGAATTTCTGAAATTGTTATATTATATATTATTTTTAAACAAACAAGAACAATATTAGTCAAGCCAGGAGTTAAAAATTTAGATTTTGGAAAAAGAACGGGACAAAATTATTTGATATTAAGTTTATGATGTGACAGGTTTTAGGGAGCTTTGCCTGGTCATAACGCTCAAGTTAAAAGACTGTTGTGCATGACACCGAATTAAAATATATTCAATTACCATTGAGAACCTCGATTCTATTATTTTAATATATATATATATATATATATATATATAATATATATATATATATATATATATATTAATTAACATTCGGTGTTACAGTTTTCAAATACCAAGATAACCTACAAAAAATAACATGTTAGCCAAGTCAAAACTGATTTGAAGACATCTTTTTCGCAAAAACGTGCTGATGTTGTCTATCTAGCTATTATCTTGTAGATGTGTATTGGCCTGTATTGTTTATGGTTGCAAGGTATGAACGCCTTAGAGAGGGTATTCTCGTATATAGTTTTTGTAATGTCACATTTTGTAGTTCAATGCGGTATATTATAGATTGTTTCATTTCTATTTTAATATACCAGGCTATGTACCGAGCTGCGAGCCTTTGGCAATGAAGAGTGCATTTCAAATAACTTTTATTATTATTATAATACAATAAACCTTTAATATTATTATAATACAATAATAAGACAACCAATATAATATAAGCCATCGTGATGTTAATTCTGCACATTTTTGTAGATATAAATGATAGCGAAACGAAAACATCAAGTGAATCGTGATATCAAAGTGACGTGACACTGACCTGTAATTCTGTTAGTATCCGCCCCTCTCCGAAAATAGGCGTTCCTCTTTGAAATAAGCCATACATGAAAAGTTCTTTAATAGTAGCTGCAGAGGCATCGGCTAAACATTGTAGAAATTGTAGACCACTCTCAAGGTCAAAGTGTGAGGAACATATTCGAACTTTCTATTTTAACAAATAATATAAGGTCATAAAAATGCATTACGACATGAATGGAATTAGAAAAGATGTAACGAACTATTGAAAAACATTTGCATTTTTCTGAAACTAAATTTTAAAAAAAAAAAAAGAATAAAATACGGGAAAAAAGGAAAAAAAAAAGTTTACTTCTTAATTAATATATTGTTTCGCAGACTCATTATATGAACATAAATATACTTAACGTACGACAGAAAATAACATATTTTATTTAACATATATTGTTTATTATTTGTAATGAAATTGCAACCGGGATGCATGGAGCACACTAAGAAAACACTCAAACCACATCGCTACAAGAGCCATTGACTAAATGGACAGGCGCTTTCTCCGATCCTAATGCCTGTCCCATTTGTCCATGGAACATGGCGCCATCTTCAAGATATTTAACAGATTGTATGTATATAAATCTATATTTACCTTCAGACAGTGCTGTTTTTGTAGTAATGTCTTTAGAGAGTATATCAAATCTATTCGCAGCTGCCCTACGAACGTATCTAGAGATGAAAGATGAACTAGAGATAAAATAGAAATACTTCTAAGTTTGGAGTTATCCAAACAAGCTGAGAACTCTTTGAAGTCGTTGACGATTTCTCTCCCATCTCGCCCACGGAGTGGTAGGAACTCTATTTCAATGTCTTGAAGTGAGGTCGGGAAACGCTTGGCGAATTCGATTGCGTACTTTCCTACCGAAAAATAAGTTAGGATTGTGTGATGAACAAACATGGCATAAGGACAGATTGTGCAAGGTCAGGGATAACCATTGAAGAAAATGAAAGTGGTCTTTACACCATAAATTAATTACCGTAACGAGGTGCAACATTTGACGACTTTTGGGGCATGTCACTGCTCACAGTCTACCAGTATGTTATTTGTTATAGTAGAATTTATGTTGGTTTGGCCAATATTTTAGTTGTACTAAAATTCAATTTTAAGGTATGTTATTAATTAAATAATGCCATTTGTACAACTAAATTGGATTAACCTGCATGTTACCTTGACCAGAAGGAGTTTTATTTTTTTTATTTTTTTTTTGTTACTGTATGTTTAAAGAGATTTAACAGTATTGATAGGTGTACCGTAATATTAGTTTTACACAGTATCCTATTGTAAAAAGTATAAAGTAGCTACGTCACAGTACCGTAAGAGTTTGTTAATGCCCTTTTAGACTTAAATAAAGCATCCTCTTTGATTTCTCTTTTTGATCTTGTTTCGCCGAACTCAATAAGTCTATATCTCCACAGTGCTGGAACATGGAAGCTTTGGTACCAGGGCTTACAAACCTTAGCCAGAAAAATAAATATGTGATTTATAGGCGTGGTTATATAAGTGGGTCTTTCAGTGGCAGGAACTGATAAATATTTTTTTTTTTTTTTTGATTTGCAAATTTAAAAACAAATTATTTATGTCAGAATTTCAGAGTCGGCTCATAAAGTAGTAGAAAAAAGTATTTGAAAGTAGAAGTTCATTTATAATTACTTGAATAGTATTTAGCATTAATGTCATGGTTACCCCAAAACAATGACAAATAAATTTTATTTTATTTTATTATTTGTTTTTTTCTGAAGCCACATATACTCAGAAGTCGACTTCAAACACTGCAAAGGAACAAAAATAATAATGTTTTAATTTATTATTAATTAATGAATGCATTCCCCCATCCTAACCTCCAACAATAAGATTATTTACAGATCTAACCTCTCATTCATTCACTCACCCTTACACCAATCATTAAGTTTTTTCACCCACCCAACATCTCATTCATACCCTTATCCATCGGCTAGTCAATCTACATTTATTTTTATGTTAGTGAGGTCTGAACTCACGCTCTCTACCCTCCCGGCAAAGAAACTGGTAAAACGATGCATCAGGTGGCTATGCAAAGATTAGCTTTTAATATAGGGCCTGCTTGCCACCCTGACCTCAAATAATTAAGATTTGGGGCCGACCGTGTACAACTGTTGAATGCCGTCAGTTTTTGTTTATTTAGGGATCCACAACTCCCATCTGATGTATCAATCTTTTGTGCTCTCATTTCAATGTCCATGCGGGTCCGGCTTTCTGTGGACATTAATTTTAGCGTAAACTTTAGTAGTATCATCGTGTTCTAAAGTGATCTTCCAAGGGATTATTTTTGATACAGACAATAGTGGCTAGTTTCCTTGCTTGTGGCTTGACAGTCCTGGATTTTATTAAAGTGTTCGCTTGTTGATTGCATTTAGCAATGTATTCTTTTGTGACGCAACGCCTGATAATCTTTCTTCTTTTTTCCGAGTTGTCGTTGCTCACGTCATTTATAATGACTTAAACCATGAGAGTGCTTCTTTCTAACGTTTGCATGCACGATCTCAACATCGAGCCCCGTAAATATCCATTCATGCGGAACCGTGTTAAACCTTTTCAGTATCCTTTTCAATGCCTCGGAATAAAACATGTCGAAATTCGACTTGGTCTTACAATTCTATAAAATTATTCATCAACATAAAGCAATGCAAGCGACCGACTGAATTATTGCAGTTGGAGTAGATCCATAATCTTCCCACCAACCCTGCATCTATCCACGCTACGCGCACTGTACTTGACGATTTCTATTTTATGATTTAATAATAATATAGTAGCATAGCCATATTATTTAAATAAATCTCATTACCCTTGCCATCGATAGCCTGTCGAGATCGCCCAAGTTTTGATATATGCATAACAGAGCAGTGGTGGGAAGTCGGCTCCATAGGGGATCATCTGGGTTATTTTCGTCAGGCCCTTTTATTAGTTTCGTCAGCATTTCTGATATCCGATTCATTTTTCTTCTGCTTTCCACTTTTGTTGATAATTAATTACGGCTTCAGTTTCTTATAAATACATTTGAATGTATTTTAAAAAAATAGTTTTTTTAATGTTAATCAATACAAACAACTACACTAGCTGAATTTTAATGTTGTGACATGATTTTAAGAGCTACGGTGATAAATAGTGTTACAAGTTAAGTCTTTTTCGGAAATTCCAGGCCAACATGCAAAATAAACACAATTTAAAAAAAAAATTAAAATCAATACCTCTTCTCGCCAGGGTTTCTTTCAGGGATCTCTCCGGAATTTTTTTTTTTTTGGTTGGTGGCACACTGTAGATTGTACGATTCCTGGTTGGTTCATATCCTCCATCCATATTCATCCTTTATTGATTCATATATTTTCCTGAGAACGTTTCTCCCCCATCTGTTTATTAGGTTTTCTGCCGTTTTTGTTAGGGTCTAAGTTTACCATGCGTATGCTACAACTGGTCTGATTACATGTTGATAAATTGTTTTCTATTTTTATCTTGAAATGCTTTTACTTTTGAGTATTTATGACTTTTGAAGTAACCCCTGTGTCTGGCCCGAACTCTTTCTTTTATTTCTGTTAGCAATTCGATTTTTTTTGTTCATAAATTCCTAGGTATTTGAATTTATTTACTTTTTCAAAAGTCTGGTTCCTAATTTCCATGGCTTCATCTGCCTGCTCTTCCCTTAACATAGTGATGCATTTTGTTTTATGGTTGTTAACTTCCAGCCCTGCTTGTAGTGATGCGTCTTCTAGTTCAATAAAAGATTTTGATATGTCTTTAATACATTTCTCCTGCAGTGTTATATCATCAGCATATGCAAGATACTAAAGGGGCTGATTGCAGAGAGTGTCCATTGGTTATGGGTCTGGGTTTCCCTCAGAAAGTATATCATTATTGTTTCTGGTGTGTAAATATGTATGCTTCTTATAACTCTCTCTAATTTTAGGTTAAATGGCATACAAGACAGTAATTGTCCTTGTCTTAGGCCTCGTCTAATCTGAAACTCCCTTGAATATTTTCCTTGAATCTTGATTTTGCTTTTTGCGTTGTTAATGTTACATCTATCAGTCTTTTCAGTTTATTGGGAAAGCCAAACTCCTGCAGAATCTCATACATATATTTTATTTTGATGCTGGCATAGGCCCTTTACATTCCACACAGAGTTGGTTTACTGAGATATTATATTCATAACATTTCTCTAATAGGCATCTGATGATGAAACTCTGATCAGTCGTTGATTTGTTTGACTGAATCCACATTGGTCATCACCTGTATTACACCTTTTATATGGAAAAGAAACAACAACACGTTTCTTCTTCAGCAGACAAAAGAACATATTTGATATTGAAAACATTTAGATCACAGATCCCAAAGAAATTCTCTGAAGTAATTTTTCCAAGATCACCATCTGTCTTTCTCAGCATCCATCTATCTTCCAGAGCCTCTGTGAAGAAAGAACGAGACACTATCAAAACAGTATTTGTTCCAAACCAAATCGTGCCTCTCACATAATTTTGTATTGCGTGTTGTCATGGTAAAATATTGGAATAATTTTTAATGTAATATCAGATATTTAAACTACAAAATGAGAACATAAATGAAGAGAAATTGAGGACCACTGTTAAGAGAGTATTTTTTTGTATTCCATATGGTGGAATGGTTTCGAAAGTGATAATTTATTAGTTTTTTTGAACACTTTACTCTCTTTTCTATAAGTGGAATAAATAAGAGCCCATTTTCGTTACATTAGACGTGCTCATGTACTCAGATCTATGGTCATGAAATGAAAAAATAAAAAGCTTTTTACAAAAAATTGTTTCAATACCTGGAATATAGTCAATGAACTTATCAGATTTCATATTTGTTTGTCTTGTCTATATAATAGTAATAGCATAGCCGGCAAAAAATTAATAAATATCACTTTTTGACTGATACACGTGAAGCCTTCTGTGATGGTAGATGCCCCCTCCCCCATAGAGAAGCCAAAGTGTTCAGCTTGCAGTAAAAGTCTTACATGAACAAGGCTCAGTCCGTATCCAAGAGGGGTCGTCGCCAAGGCGGCTGTGAACCAAAAGATCAAATATTTTCTTATCCCGTCGGAAGAATTGATGTGCGGGGGATGCGAATGCCCGTTTGGTGACATGGTCATGGGCATATAGTCTTTCCTTAAGAATTGTTGTGTTTTTTGTGTTGATAACATGTTTTGAGGGATTAACTTTTTTTTTTTTAAGAACGGTTAACGTGCAATCCATTTTCCAATCTGTCACTTTTGCACTGAACATTTAAGAAACACCTTTTATACATTTTAATGACTTAATGATTTTTTAAATGTTATGGCTGATTGAGCTTTGTATTTTTTCATTTATTCGAAATGGGATGTTTCTATAAAATTATAACTGCTAATACTTGTTTTATTTATTGTTGTTTTGTTATTTTTTTTTTTTATTTGTTCTAGCCTCGCATCGTCCATCATAATATATGTTGGTGTAGACTTCACAGGACGAAATCCATAAGGTTATTATTTCATAGGATGAAAAGCTGGTTCCCTATAGAGCAAATCGCATCTCTCTACGCCGCTGGATAACTCAAGCGAGCATCACTTTGATGATACAGCTTGGCACTACTGGCGTCACAGGGACTGTGTCAATATTACCCGCCTTCATCTCCACCTTTGAATTCAGAGATAGATTGCCATCCGGCCTCGGTCCGATATTACGGTTTTCCAATTCGCTGGACTGGGGCTGGGGACGTGGATCCTCGTGAGCGCCGGTCAAGAGCTTCGTGCTCAAAAGCACTTCTGAAGATGGTATTGTCGGTCCGCCTCGGTCGACATGTTTGTTTTTTTTTTCTTAGAGGATGGCAAATAATTATTTCTTGGTTGATCCTTAATGTTTCTTATATATGTCAGTTGTATACATTTTTTTAAAAATCTTTAGTTTATCAAGTTTATAATGATCGGTGCTGTTGAACATTATTTTTCAACATGACCGGTGATGCAAAATTGATTGGACAGATTTTGCAAATCCTTTCAAGAAACGATGTTATTGTTGTTACTCACTTAACTTTTCCCTAACTCTAAAAAGATATATTTCTACTCCATCCATATCATTTATCTTGACTGATTCTGACAATTGAACCTTTTCCTTTTTCAATAACTGCACCATATGCGCACACACACGGCCCTTGTCATTGGCGAAAAACAGAATCAACAGCTGAAAAAAGGCCAACTTTTTAACAAAGTGTGCTAACATTTTGACCAGCCATCTGCAGTGCACAGACAGACACACATTAAATACATCTTATATTGTAAAAGCCCAAAAAATGTACAATCATTTATACGTGTACATTTTTTTTTAAAATCATGTAATAACCAGTACATTTTTAAGATTAACATTTTAATGGAGAAAACATAATTGTTGACGTCAACTTTGTCAACAACTTTCAAATATGTCCAGACCCCCCTATCCACCCTACTTTTTAATCATAATTAATGGACACCCCATTAAAATTCGGTGTTTGTTTGCTTTTTTAATACATTGATTAATTTCAGATAAATATATTTACAGTTACAATAAAAAGAGGCCAAGAAAAAAAAAAGTAAAATGATGACCAGGAAGTAAGGGTAATATATTTTGGCAAATTTGTAGTCATTTCTGAACTGGAAAAGAACGGCTGTTTTAAATGCTGACAAAATTCACGTCTTTAGCGACCATTTAAAAACAATATAGCATGTCCGATATATATTAGGACCTCCTGATTGAACTTTAACAACTGGAGGTAAATCCTTTTTAATGTACTTAATCAGCGTGCGCCGTGAATCAAACAAATCCAAATAAAATAGTAATGAAAGGAAACGAAAGGAAATTACAAAAAACTGACTAGTAAATGTAAGCCATCAGTAACACTGTATAAAGAGTCTAAAAAGGAAAATTCCTTCTACATCATAGTCGGTTTAACGTGGTTATATTGCGTTTATTGACTTTTTTTCAAAAGTATTTTAACGATAAAAATTATAAGATTTGAGGTTTTTGAAGAGTTGTTACTTCACATTACAGCTTAACTTTGAACATTGTTATCATCTAGTCCCAACAAAAAACACGGCTTATGGGAACAATGATGAAAATACTTACATGCAACCAATTGTAATTATCCCAAATTATTCTAATTTTAAAACAAGCTGTATTAATAAACTCATATTATGAAATTATTACTGAATTATTTCAAATAAATATCTTAATTTTCTTTTTTACTTATCTGTATAATATGCTTCTATTTGACACTCTATAAATGTTGTTTATTTTTTTTTTGTTGGCGGGGGGGGGGGGGGCTTTTATGGTGTTT